AAGAGCAGATCCAGAGTGCTGCGGTAGGTCATCCTTGGGTTGTAGTAGCTGTCATAGATGTGGAACCCGAGAGTGATGTTAGGTAAGATCTTGGGGTTCATGTTGATCTCCTGCACAGCAAATACCAAAGCAAGGACGTGTTGGTATAATTTTGGAATCACCCTGTAAATAGATTAAGCACGCTCTTTACAAAAATAATGTTCCAATTGTGTGGTCATTCTTTGTAACTGACTAACAGAAATTGTTATCTCTGATTGAAGTATAATTTTGTAAACAGACCATATATATTTTGCAAATACTATTTTCTTTCACATTTTTCACACCACAGGGCATATTATGCTAATTTCTAAAGTTTTAATAGCAGTGTTCATTTTAATGTAGACTGGGATGGCAGCAAGTAATCTGTTTTCTCTTTTCTCCTTTCATTTAGATTTCTAGCGACTTCACTGAATTCAAAAGAATTTCAGATTTAGGGTGAGATTCTCCCTAGCCTCATACATTTTGCTCCTCTCCATCTTTTCAGTTCTGAAGGAAATCCCATGAGAATTCCTTATTCTAAACTCCTCAGAGTCAACCTCTGTGATTTGTGGCCTTTATAAGCTGCAACAGACAGAAATGATAAAATATATTTACTCTATCACCAACTTTCCCTATCTGTTTTGTAAAAATAGAATGCCAATAGATTTAGCTAAACTCTCATATTTATTTATGTTTTATGAAGAAGAGTAGTGTAGAATTAGCATTCTTCTTTTAATAATCATATTTTCCCAAAATGTACTTTCTTACAAGAAATCCAATAATGAAATATAAAGAAAATTCCCTCTTCTCTCACCTGTAAAAATCTTTCAAAATGCAAAGAACTGTTACCGTTTCATACACAACTCTACATTTTCTATGTAAACAGCTATTAATCATATAAGCAATTCTTTGGGATGTTTGTAAGGTCAGGTAATTCAAAGAAAGTTCCTTACATTGGTGAATCATAAAGATTTAGGAAAGGATGCTGTTTGAATGGAAGTTCATAAAAATGGTAAACCAGGTGAGACACTATCCCACCAATGACAAGGTCACCAGGCTGGTACCACTCATGAGGTACAGGGAAAGCATCACTTGCAGGACAGCTCAGAGTAGCTCTTTTGTTCACAAGGAACACCAGGAGCAGCAACATTATGGCTCTCTGATTTTGGAGAAAAGATCTGGGTCTATCATTCAAAGAGAAGTTCCAGCATATGACACAGGAGGGAGAGAACTTGTGGAAATGAACCTCAGAGAGTCAGCATTCCCCCTTCCTGCCTCTCTGTGGCTCTAGAAATGTTTATATAGATTGTTTTTGACTTACTAGTCCCTTCTGCACAGACCTTTTGCTGTTTTGGCCTACTAGAATAATACAGTGATTTCAGTAATTCATCAGGGACATAATTATGATTGAACCATTGGCAACTTGGCAATTTTTCTTCATATAAGTGATCAACATCTTTCTCTATGGTGGGTGACATAATAAGTGACTGAGGTTTAATTTGTTTTGAAAATACCTTGAAAAATAGAACTGAGAACATAGAGAATGCAAAATTGCCCTAATTTGAGAAATCACAACCAATGTTTAATTCCCTCCTAGAAAAAATCTTCCCTTCTGGGCATGGAACAGAGTGATAGCAGCAGAAAGGTCTTCCTTCAGCCCTTCTTTTCCATCGTCGAATCCTTCCTGCATGGTTTTTGCATCTCTCAGAATTCCTCTGTTGCTATGCCTTTAATTGATCCTGAACATTTGGAAATGGCTCATTGGCTCCCAGCAGTCCTTGCTCTGACCCCCCCCCCACATCTTCTGGAATAGCAGAACTGCAGCAAATGAAGCAGTTGTGCGAAGGAGTGATCACGAGTATTCTAATGATCAGGATTAGACAATGGAAATTGTCTAATCTGGATTAGATGAATGACCAGCAACAATACGTAGTACTTTACTGATTAACCATGAAGCCATATCGGAATACAAAATATAAAACACAGAAGAGTAATAAGACCACATGTTAAAGAATAGAATAAAAGAAATAAACAAATAAAAGAAAATGAAAATCTAATTTCCGTCTCACCCTACAATTGAACCCAATCAGAGCCACATATGCAGTTTTCAAGTGTACTGTCTAGTTCAAATAAAGGGCCCTGTTATATGTAAGTTTTGGATTCTGACCGCACATGGAATTTCTTGTTTTAATATATGGATCCCAATAGCTCATTCATCTAATGTGTGGCCAAGATTCCAATCTGTTTCCTTTTTATACAATTAACATCAAATAATGTATGTGTTACTCTACAACGCATGACTCATTTATATGGTGTAAGCAGATAAAGGAACTCAACTCAGCTGGACTGTTTCACTCTTGTTCTTGGGCTGGACCTGCCATCAATCTTGCCAGACTCAATCTGTACTACTGCAGCTGGCTGATATACCCTGGAGGTTCTAGGGAGTGGCTATCCTAAACCTGTTATGCTTCCCACACTCCCCCTTGCAGATTGGTCTCCTTTCCATTCCTGGAATGCACCCTCTACTTCCGGTTAGCCTTGCTTTCTGTTGCTATCTACATCACCCTCCTCTTCCTAGATACATTCCATCACAAGATCCCAGGAGAAACATCAGAGCTCTCCTTCCAGAGGAGTACAATTCTACCAACAGCTGAGATACTTTGCAGAACCCTCAAATTCCAAGGCCTCTAGTAGAGGACATGAGATTGAAGGCATGTACCACCCATAGAGGTTAGAGGTGATGTATATATAGAGAGAGAGTAGCTGGATAACATATTTGTTAAAGCACCACCTTTGACATAGGAGACCAGGGTTCAACTCCCAGCTGGTACCTCCCTTACCAGTAGGGGTTCTTGGGCAAAGACCCCCTAATGCTTCTCCTGCCTACAACAAAGATGACAGTGACATGAACTAAGAGAGTCATCCCAGTTCAGATGTTGTCCAGATTAACAAGGTCTGTGTCAGATGTTGGGGAACCAGGACAATCTGATGATAAGTGGGCTTCTGGAAGAAACCATAGATGGATGAAACAAGAAAACGTGGAATTGATGGAATGCTACTACAACAGTAGACCTAATGAGAGGGGATATATGGAACATATGAGTGAATTATGGATGGACAGAAGACCTACATCCACACTAATTGAGAAACAACCTGTTACCCAGTGCTTCAACATAGTGAAGAGGAAGCTGCTCTCACAACTTGAGATAGATCAACTACACATTACATCCTGGACTCAAGAAGACCCAGAAGAATCATGGGATATGCAGCCAACCCTTGAAAGTGGAACATCACTGCCACCCCCTGCATTACAGAGCACAACAGTGGATATGAGGCATAAGGTTATGGATAAACTAGGTACAGTCAACTCTCAAGACCGATTACGAAGGCTCAGTGGAGGAGTACCATCAGATAGTATTTTTATTATGTATCATATTTATATATGATAAATGCTGGAAGATGCCAATAGAGCCCCCATGACAATCCCTAGCACCTCAATAACTCAATGAACTGGTATCTGCTACAGCTGCTGTAATCCTCAAAATGCTTGGTTTACATGATCAAGAAGAACAGCAGTAACCCACCCCCCCCCTCCGTAAAATGAGTTTAGAGGCTAGATCAAGGCAACTCGGAGAGAAGTTAGTCAGCTGGTGCAACTACAGAAGGGTATGGAGATTAAGGATAAGACTCAGTTAATGAAAAAATACAAGGACCTTACTCCATCTCAAGCCCTAGAGACTGCTAAACAAAGGCTCCTAGCACTGGCTGCCCAGCTAAGGAGATACACCAGAGAAGCAGAGGCCAAGAAGATAAATGTCGTCCTCTCCAACAATCTTCCAAAATGTACTCCCAACTGTGGTGCAACCACACAGTAACAGCAGAGCCACCAGCAGCAGGAACTGAACAGTACTGGAAGAACATATGGGAGAAAGAGAAGGCACATAACAACACTGCAAAGTGGCTGCAGGACCTGAAAGCAGACCACAGCAATCTCCCAGAACAGAAACCAGTTACCATCACAGTAACAGACATCCAACAGACAGCCAAGAACATGAAAAGTTGGACAGCACCTGGCCCGGACATGATCCACACCTACTGGCTAAAGAAACTAACAGCAGTGCATGAACGTCTAGCAGCACAGATGAACCAACTGCTAGCAGCAGGCTCCCACCCAG